AATAGAATAAGGTAGCTTGTCATCAATAGGAGACAATAATTAATTTTTTTTTGAGGCGATTGGAAATGTGTAAGGAAGATATTTGATGGAATTGGACCAAATTTCAACGAAAAAGTCCCTCTGTAAACACTTAATCAAGCTTTGGTGAAAGAACTTCTTTATCTTGAACATATCTTTTGTGAAAAACAATTGTTGAAGGTGAACCAAATCTGATGAAAAAAATAAGCACCAAAGTTCTAAGTCAATTAGTTAGATTTCGAAAATGTATGTCAAAGCTATGGATCGATTTGTCATTTTGTGTGGTTGCTAGAAACTTTTATTAGGGGAATACTTACTTATTTTAGAAGAAATCTAGCACAAAAGGTAAGTAGCCAATCGATTAGGTTTGAAACAACGGCGAAAGTTACAGTAATCAGAAGCTACTTCTCAAATGGAAGTGAATTACTCTTTAAAACAAAACGATAAAACTGAAAGACATATGATTGATGGCCAAGCACAAAAATACAAAAAAGAACTAAGAATGTTTTAATAGATTTATATTCTCTGTGCGTATGTCATTTGGTGAAACGCTTTTTTTTATCAATTTCTTATTAAAATTGGACAAGTTTAGTGAAAAGTCGAACGGTGTGCACTTTACTGACCTACGGAGGTAATTGTTATGGAGGCAGGACTACAGTGTGAACCTTACTAACCTCCAGAGGTATTTGTTATGGAGGCAGGACTACAGTGTGAACCTTACTAACCTCCAGAGGTATTTGTTATGGAGGCAGGACTACAGTGTGAACCTTACTAACCTCCAGAGGTATTTGTTATGGAGGCAGGACTACAGTGTAAACCTTACTAACCTCCAGAGGTATTTGTTATGGAGGCAGGACTACAGTGTAAACCTTACTCACCTCCAGAGGTAATTGTTATGGAGGCAGGATTATGGTGTGTGCTTTACTAACATTCAGAGATAATTGTTATGGAGGTAGGACTATGGTGTGTACTTTACAAACCTCCATAAGTAATTGTTATGGCGGCAGGACTACAGTGTGAACCTTACTAACCTCCAGAGGTAATTGTTATGGCGGCAGGACTACAGTGTGAACCTTACTAACCTCCAGAGGTAATTGTTATTGAGGCAGGATTATGGTGTGTGCTTTACTAACATTCAGAGATAATTGTTGTGACCACATGACTACGGTGTGTACTTCACTGGCTACACAGGTAAATGTGTATTTTGCTAAACAACGGAAATAATTGTTATCGGGGTGCGATACTAAGGTGTGAACTTTACTGACCATCAGGCCTAGTTGTTATGGCGCAGGACTATTGTGTGCACATTAATGACCTACAGAGTAGTTGCTATGGAGGCAGAACTATTGTTTGCATTTTTCTGACTTTCAGAAGTAATTGTTATGGGTCACCTTACTTACCAACAAAAATAATTGTTATGGGTATGCAATACTAAGATGTAAACTTCATTGACGTACAGAAGTAATTGTTATGGAGGTAAAACTACTGTGTGTACTTTGTTGGTAATGGCCTAAAATAAACTCGACGTCTCTCTTCCTATATATATATATCTATATAGAAGCTGGTGTTGGTTTCATCATACATACAAAGGATTAGCTAGAACGTGAGTTAACGTTTTAATGCAAACAAAAATTTGTAGATAAACTAAGCGATAGAAGGAAATAATAAATGAACAATAAACACAACCATAACCATAAAAAAAATAGAATTAACTATCTCGCATATTGACCTACAGAGGTAATTGTTATGGAGATAGACCTGTGTGTACTTTATTGAGCAATCCTCAACTGTATCAACTTTATACATCTACGCCTTTTTTTTTTCTTGAATAAATCAAGTCACAAAGTTTCAGCTTCAAAGTTTGTGATTTAGGACGCTTTAATAACACGCAGTAAAAAAAGCTGATAGACTTTTAGGTATTACACTTTCACTCTAACTATTGCGAGTTTAGACGTCACGGAAGTGATTTAACTTTTAAATAAACCATTCTGTACTTCAGAAGAAACTACAACAAATCAAGATTTTGTTTAATCCCGCCACAACAAATACCGTTTAGTAATGGAGAACTGTTTTCCAAACAACTCTAAAACTTAAAATTTATATGTGCCACGGTCGTGTGTCATTACAACAACGGTCTAAGCTTTTGAAATGTTTTCCTTCTAAATTAATAGCCTTAGAGGACTGCACGAAAAGCATTAAAAATCAAAAGCTCAGTTCGTGCTGTACCTTTTTACAATGACTTACCTTCAAACTTTTGTTTCAATTTCTAAGCGCATTCTAGTTGTAGAACTTACTTTTATGATTCCCGATCTGCTCAAGAATACTTCCAACATTAAAAACTCATTAGTTAGGTATGTAGAATAAAGATGTGCACGTGATAACCTCATACTTCTGTATCGCATGAATTATCAGTTAATATAAATAGTATAGTGAGTACACCGTGTAATCAACAATTTGATTCATTTTCTATGAGAAATGTTTAAAAGATTTTTTGCAGATTGCAAAGTCGATAGAAAAAGCTTAAGTTTGTATCATAAACAAACAATCTTCATAAAACGCGACGCAATGGTGGGTAATTGCATGTCATGCCATTTGACTGTTATTGGACTTTTATAGCACATGGAGAATGGATTTTTATTAATAATTGGAAATCCATTTTGCTTCAGTTGATTCAGTATTTAATTACTTTTAATAGCGTACAACCTAAAGGTTCAGTAGACAATCGAAACTTTATAACCAAAATTATACTTTCTACTATAAAAGAGATATTTGGTTTCTACCGAAAATAATTGCTTATAATTTCTTTTCAGGCACATTTTGCTACAATATTAAGAGTTAAAAGCAAAACAATGTTTTTCTTCCTTCTATTTAGTAGTTTAACTTTAGGGACGGTTATACCTAAACCTCAGGAGGCCTATAACCTTAATATTATAAGATAACGTTGGGACTGCAAACCGAAAATCCTACAATAGTTCCCACTTGGCAATGGTATTGGTTTATAATATCTACATAACTATAATTATATCAGTAAAAATATTGAGGATATATCATGTTTTTGCATTTTAGGTAGAATTAAGAGTGAAAAACAAAAACGAAGTGTTTTGGCACAATGTGTTACCGAAACTAGTCAGCTGAAATTTTGAATATCGGTTTTATTTTTTATCGAGCCCTTGAAAATGTTGACGAATGAACATTTATAAGCTCCAACATGCATGGAAATTTCGTTGTTGTTTCGGTACCGTCTGATACAAATATAGGGGAAAGCAATTGCTCTCCCTGATTTCTTTTCCACTGGAGGAGGAGGCTTGCTGGCTGCCATTTCATTCAAAGAACCTGACTAAACCTTTGTGGCGGTGGATAGCGGCGTGGGAACTTCTTTTTGCTAGGGGTAAGCGACTTTCAACGAACTTATATATATATATATACACACACACATATCTATGTATATATATACACACACACATATCTATGTATATATATGTGTATATATATATTTTGTTTTTTTTTAACGAGTTTAACTATTACTTTTATTATGTAATAACAGCTGAAAGTGCAGAATGCATTCAGCGACATCACAGCTCGAGCCTTGGACCCTTTGATCTGAAGCCCAACACCTAATCATCAGGCCATATGCAGTATGAATATGAATCGTTTAAAAAGACATCCAGGCTGTTAACACTGAAGGTATGTAACATTTTAACTAAAATAAATTTTTCATATACTTCAGCAAGCCGTATTATCGTGACTAGCATGCCAGACTTTGAATCTGATGATCCACTGTTAGCATCCCTTTGCCAGAAAATCGCACTCCACACTTTGAGTCGTGAGTGCCGCAACAGAGTGATGATCAGATCCCACTATTCGATTAATGTAGTAGCTAGGTGCTGTTGACTATCTGCTTTCTCTCTCTAACCTATCAGTTCAAAATCAGGGAGGCTAACGCAGATGGCTCTTGTGTAGATTTGCATATGGATATATCGTTTGCCTTTACCATTCTGATTACACTTTTGAAGATCTCTTTGAACTTCAGTTCTTTGTCTTTTGTTTTGAAGAAAGATGTGGCTGTTTTGATCTTCTTGTAATACTGCGGGGGATCAGCTGCTAGAGATTATGGATGATAATATAACGGTAGTGTTGTGGAGAAGCTAAATTCAAATAGTTGAAATGAACCGAGAAGTTCTTTAACTTTAGTGGGTGGTTGTGAATCAAAGTATGAAATAATAACGTTTAACAGTGATATGGCAGCTCATAGCATTTCGAGAAAGATGAGACAGATTTGTGGGACTCTGTTAACATTGAATGGCATTACAACCTATTTTTCTTGCTTCTAACGCGTCATAAGTGCAATATCATGACAATAGGTTGTGCTTATATCTAATTATTATTTTGGCACATAATATTCGAATAATAAATTTTAAACAGTTTATGAGTACTGATGATTAAATATATTTGTATTTGAGCTTAATGCAAAGGTACTAATTTTTAACATTTTCAAAAGTAAGGAAGAAACAATAAGTTAATCTCACAGAACTTTGATTTTGTATTTACAGCAAAGCTACCAAGGCTATTTTTATGTTCACGGTTTCACGCTGTACAGTAATCTCCCATCATCTCAGGGATAAACAATTTTCAGTTTTAAGTAAATCAGTTTTTGTAGTTTTAAACTTCTTGCTTCAATACTTTTTGTAGAATTAAAACTTTATATATTACTATAAATAGCTAGATTACGTATATATCGATCTATACTTGTCTTTATGAAATTAATTTTTTTATTATACTTATAAAAATATGAGAACAAAAATATAGAATATGAAATTTGTCAATGGTTCATTATTTTAAATGGTCACTGAATTGGCTTAGGCGCGAAGATATAATTGAAAGGTTAAACAACTTCCGTAAGTAGGCTAGAGTAGATACACTGTGAAAAAAAAGTATCCTTAAATATATATACATAAATGTAAATATATATTAAGCTGATGATTAAGTTTTCGTTTTGTTTTGTAAAATTGCAAGTTTTAATACTAGTAATAGGTTTATCAGATGTATAATATTGAAATTACTGAAATGTTTTGATAGTTCGTCTTTGCAAGATGTTTTACCATTGTTATTGTTAAGACTATTTCAAAGTGAAACCAGCCAGGTTGACTTGTGAGTTCATTTTTCAAAATAACTTGCTATTAAAACTTTTAATAAAAGTAGACTTTTAATTAATGGAGGTAAATTGAATTATATTGTAAGCTTAATCAAATTAATATTATATATATACTGTGATTGTGAACATGCATGACTTCTATTTCTAAGTTAATCTAGGTCAGGAACAATAAAGAATAGAACAAACACGAAACCATGCTTAGTTTTATATGCAAGTGTAAAGACACTAATAATTATTTGTTTGATAAAATGCTTCTGTTTATTTTTGATCATAAACAGACTTACTCTATATTGTGTTATGAGCATATTGTATGTTAGACACTCAATAGTTTGTACTTTGTACTGGATTTAGAGAGCAACTAACTAAAAAATGCTATTTTGATTCTCTAGGACATCTAAAGCCTTATATGTGTACATGTATACTACAGAGAATATCCTTTTGAAAACTAATTTTAAAGTCAGTTTTTGTTCATTTTGTGTAATGCAATATTTGGTTTGCAAATGTCACAGTTATAAAACACTTGTATATTATTTGAAGATAAATTCATTGGAATTAAATATTGATACAGACATATGTTTATGAACACTCTGACATCTATCTGAATATATATATATACATATATTTATAAGTAATCTGTATTTCAGCTTAAGATGTCAGGAATAGCTGCTGCTCGTTTAGCTGAGGAAAGAAAAGCATGGAGGAAAGACCACCCTTTTGTGAGTGAACATTGTTTCTTTCCTTATATTAATTATATTTTCTCAGAGGAAAATTTTCTTCTGAAAATTTTGGAAAAAGAAATAGCTAAATATTCATTTTTAAGGATAATTTTGTTTTGGTTTATTTGGATTGAGTGACTATGATTGTAGTTGAAAACAAAATATTTGTACTTAAGATTACAAAACCATTTTAAATTCAGACTTCCAACTTCTTAGGGATTTGTTGCAAGACCAACTAAAAATTCAGATGGAACACTCAATTTAATGAACTGGGAATGTGGAATACCTGGAAAGAAAGGGGTAAGGTTTTGCATTTATTGAATTTATAACCTTTCTTTGTTAGTGATATTTGTTTAATGATGTTTAATGGCAACAGCAGCAAATATCTGACACATGTGAGACAGCAACAGACAATTAATACTTGAACATTTAAAAATATACATATTCCCTTTTCAGCATGCTATATTAAACAAAGTAAAATGTTTGATACAAGAATTTCTAACATTCTAAAGCTCCAATATTTTATAAAGAGGAATTAAAATGCAAAGTAAAAAAATGAAATAAATTGAAAAAACAATTAAAGTAGGTATAGAGCACAACAATTGTTACAAAATTACAGTTTTTTCAGCAGAATATTTGACAATAAAGATGATGAAAATAGCATTTCTTTTTTTTTTAATTTTGTTGAACCTTATTTACCATAAGTTGAAAGCAGTTACAATATAGGTAATAATATTTATGGGCTATGTTCAAATATGTAAAATATAGTTTAAGGTTGGCTTCATTGCCAAAATTAACTGCATTCAGGTTTATATAGATATCACCAAAAATTGTCCTGCTGTAATGTACCTCTTACAATATATATGTATATGTGTGTGTGTGTATATATATATATATATATAT